TGCCAATAACTATATATTTGGTTACTAAATTGTTTTAGTCTACTAATTTCATTTTAGTCACCGAAAATGCTACTCTCATCGACGAAATTTTTTTTTTTTGATCGCCATTTATGCCTTTTGTTGTAGTGAAGAATTACAATACAAAAACTAAAGTAATAATTAAAAATAAAATAAAAAAATGATCGGCTACTTTAAAACATATACATCACTTTGACATCACATTAACTTTTAATTCCACCATCAAATAAAAATTGAGTTGATGTTAAAAACTCCATGAGTATGTTCCGTCCTCATCATTATGTAGGGTCAATTTGAAAGCATGATTAAAAGTTAATTTTTAACTTATTTTGAGTTATATCATTATTTTAGGTGTCGTTTGGTTCGTTTGGCAAGAGGGTTTGTGGTTATTTTAGCTACAAAAGATAAAATAGCTATTTTAGTCATAACAAACAAAACATCACATCCAATCCATAATCATTACACTCTTCTCTTACAAAAAAAGTCAAAAAAGCCAAAAAGTCAAAAAGTTCTTCCCAAACAAAGTTTTTTAGCCCAGGCTAAAATAGCAAAAAAAATCAAAAAGTCAAAAAGCCAACCCACTTCCCAAACGGAGGCTTAGCTTTTTGGTTTTTTTTGACTTTTTTAGCCTGAGATTTTTTTGTTCGTTTGGTTTTTTTGTTTGATTTTTTTTTACTTTTTTTTTGCATTGGAATGACAAATATGCCCTTCACTTGGAAATGATGTTTTTTTTTTTAATTTTTTGTATGTATATGGGTCAATTTGATAATTTTGCATCAAAAATCAAGTGTTTTGTCATTTTGTAATTTTTTTTGTTCTTATGTACTTATATAGTCCCAATTTGTTTACCAAAAAAAAGCTTAGTTTTTACATATTTTAAAATTTTAAAATTTTTTTTTTAACTAATTTCTCAAAACAACCTGCTTTTGGGTTGTTTTGGGAAGATGGTAAAAAGTGACTTTTTGGCTTTTAACCAAGTTTTTGGCTTTTTTAGACAAATGATTTGAGATGTTGGTAAAAAGTGACTTTTGACTTTTTTGATTAATATTTGTTTATGATGTCAAATTATAATAAAATGACCAAACTATCCCTATTTATTTAAAATATTTACAACTTCACATGTGTAACACATTTTGACCCATGAGGGGTAAAATTATAATTTCACCGTTGGCTAAAAACCGACTTCCCAAATGAAAAAAAAAATCAAAAAAATCAACTTTTAACTTTTACTACTAACCAAAAAAAGTGACTAAAAATTATGTTGCCAAAATAAACCTTTGTCTCACAAAAGCCTCTCAACAGTTCTGTCCTTTACATGACAAAATGTACACAACACAGAGCACTTGACTTCAGCCTAATATGGCCTAATTTGAGAATATAGTTAAAAGGTAAATTTTAACTTTTAATTTATTTTAAATCATATTATATTTTTATTTTTTTTATATTTTTTAAAAAAATTAAAAAGTCAACTTTTAATTAATTTTCAAAATAACCTAATGTTTTTGTTTGAAATGTGAGTTAACTTTTTGATTTTTTTAGTCTAAAGCTAAAATGTCTCGTTTAGAATGAAATTTTTAACTTTTGTGAGAGAAAAAATAAAATAATTATGATTTAAATGTAACATTTTATTTTATTAACTTTTTAAATTTATTTTATTTTTTTATAATTAAAATAGCAACAAAAAAAAAACTTTGGTAGCGTTTAGTAGAGCTTTATAAATATGATTTGAGAATAGAAGTTGTATTTTGAATTTGTGAGTTTTTGAATTATGATTTGAGTGTGAAAAATTTGTTTGGTGAATAAGTTTTGAAAAGAGTTTTGAATTGAGAGGAAAATTTTTAATGTGACATATGATATTTGATACAAAAACTTACAATTCATAACCAAACACACAACTTAAAATTCTATTAAAAGTCATAATTTTTTTTTAAAAATTCAGAAAATATTTTTTATTGAATATATAAAAATTAACATGTGTCAATTGCAAAAAAAAAATTGCACTGTTTCGATCAATTTGCCGGTCAACCGGCTAGACGACAGGTTAGTCCAAATTTTTTACTTTCAACCGAGTTTTCAAAAGTGTATAGAATTAATTTTTAAAAATTATAAACAAACATCACATATGAACCAATATCTAAAATTAAAGTTCTAAAACTCAAACAAACAGAGCCTTTATTTATGCCAAACGAAACCTATGCATGCGAAGCACTCAAATAGTGCTATGGCGGTGTTTGGGAACTCAGTTTTTTGATTTTGATTTTTTTATTTTTTTCACTACAAAATAAATTGGTTATAAAATAAAAATAAATAAATTCAAACAAAGTATCACATCAAATCCCATAATCATTTCATTTTTTTTCTCATAAACATCACATCTAACTACAAAAAAATCTAATTATCTTCCCAAACATAAAAAATAATTTTTCCAATAATATTTTATAAATTAAAAAATCTAAAAAAAAAAAACTCAATTCACAAACACCCACAATATGTACTTCTTTTTGTGTACAAAATAATGGCCAGGGACATTCTGGAAGGGGGAAAACTGACATACTCGATGTTTTATTAGTGAGAGAAAGTTGTCCTACAAGAAACACAAACCAATAATTTCACCAGCACAAAATCGCTCAATAAAATAATTTTTTATGGTAAATTTCGTAGAAAGTTGCTTCCGTCCTAAAAGAAACACAGAACAAAAATTTTGCCTAGAGAGTAAGGATTTCGTAGAATTCGTAATTTGATCTAATCCAATTTAATTTGATAAGTTTGAATTGGTTTTTTAAATTTGTAGTTCGTTTCTGAATTGAAAAATTAAAAATCCGTAATACACGGATTGGTTCTGAATTGAACCCCACGGTTCTGGATTGAAACCGATCCGAACCGTATACAAATAGTATATATTTTATTATACATTCTCTCCCATAGTATCTTCTCTTATTCTATATAAAATCTAAATTCAAACTTAAAATCATATAATATCTTCTTTTATTACTTTTATTTGTTAGTTTTTAGTTTTAATTTGTAATGGTCTAAATATGAAACTAGTTTTCTTATGATTGTTTAAATTTTAGAACAGTATGTCGCTATTATAGAAATAGATGTTGCTATTGTAGAAGTAATATAGAGCTATGTTTATATTTTTATGAAATTAAAGTGTTATATATATATTTTTGTTATTTACTTATGTGAATCCGTGGTTCTAAACCGATCCAATCCGTATTTAAATGGATTGGTTCCATAATTTAAACGGATTGGATTGGTTCTAATTTTTCAAAAACCGTAACTAACGAATTGGTCTTAGTTTTACTCCAATCCGATCCAATCCGAACCATACTTCCTAATTTCACCAGCACAAAATTGCTCATTAAAATAATTGTACATGGTAAATTTTGTTGTTTTGTTTAGGATATGTTATATAAGTGTATTTTTTGATTTTTGACTAAAAAAGTAAAGAAAAATATGTATATTTGAAATAATTTTTTGATATTTTACGAAAAAATGTGTAATAAAATATTGCAGTAAAATCAAAATAACCATTCTACCCTTATTGACTTTTGCGTAATTGAATTCAAAGGGCAAAATAATAATTTTACCCTCTAAACTTTCCCACAAGCTTTCTCCAAATAGTATAGACTTTTTAATTTTTTTAATAACTTTTTAATTTTTTAGCTTTTGTAAGTTATCCCAAATTTTTGTTTCCAAAGTAGGGCATGGAGTACACGTGTCCCTTTCAATTTTTTGAAAATTATATTCTATTTTTATATAATAAAAAGAATTTAATTTGTTCCTTGAAAGTTTCAAATATTTCTCCTAAATTTTTATATCTCCTTTTTTTTTAATATATTTTTTCTCTTTTCAGCAAAATCTCCGTAATTTGCCACTTTTAATCTTTAATTATGCTAAAAAAATTCACTAATAAATCATATATTATTATTTCTTCATCTCTCTCATTTGTTTCACCCTTTATATCTCTTTTGACGTGTGTATGTGAATATAATTTCTTTCTAATATTTTATGAAAGCATGTGATCACTTTTCAAATTATAACAATCAGGATCCAAAAACCAAATTAATAATTAAAAAGAAAGGAAAATGATTGGTTACTTATTCTAAACATCACTCTGACATCACATTAAATTTTAATTCTACCACCAAATAAAAATTGAGTTGATGTTAAAATTAAAACTCCCATAAGTGTGTTCCTTCCTCATCATTATGTAAGCTTTTATCTCACAAAGCCTCTCCTTCAGAAAATGTACACAACACAGGGCACTTACAGACTACAGCCCAATAGATATGCACAAGCACTCAATAGCACTGGAAAAATTATGTAGTGGCCTTGGGGCATTGTCATGGTGTTCCAATTCAATATGATTGGTTAAAATTATAGGACTCAATACTTTTTTATTAAGTTAATAAGAGATAACTTAACAAGTGTCCAGTGATGTAAAACAATACTCCTAAACCACCCAATACCTTCTCTGATTATTTGTGTGCAAAATAATGGCCAGGTACATTCTGGAAGGGGTAAAACTGACATAATTGATGTTTTTGTGGGAGAAAGTTGTTTCTGTCCCTAAAGAAACACAAACCAATAATTTCACCAGCACAAAAAAATAATTTTGGGTTGGTCTGTAAAGTGAGTTGGTTTTTTAGTTTTTTGACTTTTTTGGCTATTTTAGCCTGGGTTAAAAAGTTTAGTTTGGTAAGAACTTTTTAACTTTTTGACTTTTTTGACTTTTTTTATGAGAGAAGAGTGTAATGATTATGGGTTAGATATGATATTTTATTTGTTATGGCTAAAATAACCTATTTTATCTTTTGTGACTAAAATAGCCAAAAAAAACCCACAAAACCACTTGCCAAACCAATTTATAAGGTAGATTTGGTTATTATTTCTATTCATATTAACTACTTATATTTTTTATAATTAATTATGTAGTCAATTCAATATCTGTAGAATTATTGAAACACAAATAGAGATTGCAAGAGGAAATGTCATCCTTTATTTCAAATAATATGGAGTGTACAAAGCATAGAGATCAAATTAAGAAGCAAAACAACTCGTAATAATAACAAATAGAAGATCAACAAATAGAACAAACACCATCTTCTACTATACAATAATAAATCACTAGAGATATAATATAACTCTACGAAGACGAACACAATAATAAATACCCCATTTCTATATCTCACTTCCTATACTTTCATTTTTAAACCCTCAGAGCCACTCCACCGGAAGATTGTATCAACACAATGTGCAAGATTGCTACCAGAGAAGTAAAAGCAAACTGGTCCCAATTAAAAAGTTTCTCAAGTGCAATCCTCGGGACCTTATTGAATGGAATTGGATTTGAAAAGACTTCTTGTCTGCATTTTCTTCTCATTGAGCCTTCTTTTATTCCTTTTTTTCTACCAAAAGCTGCAAGCGAATTACATGTACAAAAGATGAGAATATTGTTGAATTGATTTTTATCATAATTCTATCACGATGTGAGTAAAATGACTTCGGATTCGAGATTTACTTACATGACGGATGGTGGTGGTGAGTGGATGAGCGACTCCCGCTTAGTAGTGAGTTGGGGGTGGTGGAGAAGCGTAGATGTAGACTGGTGGTGGAGGTGATTTCATGGGTGGGGGAGGTGAGGAGTAGAGGTATGGAGGAGGAGGTGATGGTGAAGGGGGAGGTGGGGACTTGTAGTAGTATGGTGGTGGAGGAGATGGCGATGGTGGAGGGGGAGACTTGTAGTAGTAGGGAGGTGGAGGAGATGGCGATGGTGGTGGTGGGGACTTGTAGTAGTAGGGTGGTGGAGGTGATGACGATGGTGGAGGAGGAGACTTGTAGTAGTAGGGAGGAGGAGGTGATAGAGATGGTGGTGGTGGGGACTTGTAGTAATAGGGTGGTGGAGGAGATGGTGACGGTGGTGGGGGTGATTTGTAGTAGTAAGGTGGTGGTGGTGATGGTGACGGTGGTGGTGGAGACTTGTAATAGTAAGGTGGTGGTGGAGAATTCTCTGGTGGTGGTGGGGAAGTGTAGTAGTATGGTGGAGGTGGAGACTTCTCTGGTGGTGGTGGGGATGTGTAGTAGTATGGAGGAGGTGGAGACTTCTTTGGTGGTGGTGGGGACGTGTAGTGGTAAGGTGGTGGTGGAGACTTCTCTGGTGGTGGTGGGGACGTGTAGTGGTAAGGTGGTGGTGGAGATTTCTCTGGTGGTGGTGGGGACTTGTAGTAATAAGGTGGTGGTGGAGATTTCACTGGTGGTGGTGGGGATGTGTAGTAGTAAGGTGGGGGTGGAGATTTCTCTGGTGGTGGTGGGGACTTGTAATAGTAAGGTGGTGGTGGTGACTTCTTTGGTGGTGGTGGAGAAATGTAGTAGTAAGGTGGCGAGGGAGATTTCTCTGGTGGTGGTGGGGACTTGTAGTAATAAGGTGGTGGTGGAGACTTCTCTGGTGGTGGTGGAGAAGTGTAGTAGTATGGTGGAGGTGGAGACTTCTCTGGTGGTGGTGGGGACTTGTAGTAGTATGGAGGATGTGAAGACTTCTTTGGTGGTGGTGGGGATGTGTAGTAGTAAGGTGGTGGTGGAGACTTCTCTGGTGGTGGTGGGGAAGTGTAGTAGTATGGTGGAGGTGGAGACTTCTCTGGTGGTGGTGGGGACTTGTAGTAGTATGGAGGATGTGAAGACTTCTTTGGTGGTGGTGGGGATGTGTAGTAGTAAGGTGGTGGTGGAGACTTCTCTGGTGGTGGTGGGGACTTGTAGTAGTATGGAGGAGGTGGAGACTTCACTGGTGGTGGTGGGGATGTGTAGTAGTATGGTGAGGGTAGAGATTTCTCTGGTGGTGGTGGGGACTTGTAGTAGTAAGGTGGTGGAGGAGACTTCTCCGGTGGTGGTGGAGAAGTGTAGTAGTAAGGTGGTGGTGGAGACTTCTCTGGTGGTGGTGGGGACTTGTAGTAGTATGGTGGATATGGAGACTTCTTTGGTGGTGGTGGGGATGTGTAGTAGTAAGGTGGTGGTAGAGACTTCTCTGGTGGTGGTGGGGACTTGTAGTAGTAAGGAGGTGGTGGAGATTTCTCTGGTGGTGGTGGGGACTTGTAGTAGTAAGGAGGTGGTGGAGATTTCTCTGGTGGTGGTGGGGATGTGTAGTAGTAAGGTGGGGGTAGAGACTTCTCTGGTGGTGGTGGGGACTTGTAGTAATAAGGTGGTGATGGAGATTTCACTGGTGGTGGTGGGGATGTGTAGTAGTAAGGTGGGGGTAGAGACTTCTCTGGTGGTGGTGGGGACTTGTAGTAGTAAGGTGGTGGTGGAGACTTCTTTGGTGGTGGTGGGGATGTGTAGTAGTAAGGTGGTGGTGGAGACTTCTCTGGTGGTGGTGGGGATGTGTAGTAGTAAGGTGGGGGTGGAGACTTCTCTGGTGGCGGTGGGGACTTATAATAGTAAGGTGCTGGTGACTTTTTTGGTGGTGGTGGAGAAGTGTAGTAGTAAGGTGGTGGTAGAGACTTCTCCGGTGGAGGTGGAGACTTGTAATAATAGGGTGACGGTGGTGGTGGAGATTTGTAGTAATAGGTCGGTGGTGGTGGGGACTTATAAACATAAGTTGGTGTGGGTGGGGGTGGAGACTTGTAATGATAAACTGGAGGTGGCGGCGACTTGTAGATATAAGTAGGTGCTGGTGGAGGTGGTGACTTGTAAACATAAGTCGGGGATGGTGGTGGTGGAGACTTGTAATAGTACGGTGCAGGTGTGGGCTTGGGCTTTTTACACTCCATATAAGGTGTCTTAGGAGCATAAGCAAAAGACTTGGAACGGAGTACAACTTCATAAGCAGTCTTGGACTTGACTTTGAGTTCAGCACCCTTGATGCCCATATGGAGGTTTGTTGGCATATTACATGGTGAGTCCTTTGGAGGACTATGGAGCTTAGCCTTGCAAGACTCAGCTCCATACTTGGAATAGTCAAATCCATGGACGGTGATGCTGTATTTACCGTTGATCTTGGTTGTACCGTAGGCCACAATTTCTTTCTTCCCTGCTTTGCAGGTCACCTCCACAACAGCACCTGCACTCCACGTGTATACAGTCAGTTATACATCTACTTTGTTACATTTCTCGAAATATTCGATAATTGAAATTATTGATCTCTCATAAATATTTATATTTATAGAAAAGATAAATTTCATTTCTCACTCATAATTCGATAAAAAATTATTTTAGTTTTTTATTATTTTAATTTAAACAATTTGATTTTTACACTTAATTCCTAAATTAATTTACTTTTTTTTTCTAAATTTTTATTAATTTTTGTATGTTTTTACTTCTTAAGTTCTTACATTAACAACTAACCCAAAATTATTAATTTTTATCTTTAATTTAAACGTAAAGTTTAAACACTAAAATGTTCAAATTAAAAAATAAAAATAAAAATTTAGTCAAATTGTAAAGATTAAAAGTGTAATTTATTCATATAAAAACAAGGATAATTTTATTCTCACATCATATAAAATTTCACTACACAACATTTATATTGTTTGGATATAAATTCTTGAATAAAAATAATTATTTAGACATAAACATTGAACAGGATGTATATCTGAATATTTAATTTTTATTTAAAAATTTATATCCAAATAACATAAATAGTATATGTGTAAATAGAAGTGTCCTAAAAACAATGGTAAGAGTTGGTGATTTATATATTTATTTATTTATTTTTTGGGGTGTTGGTATCTTTTCTGTGGCATACACCGCAAAACACGTGAGCACAGATATCTGTATTTAGACCTTTTAGACAAGAAGTCGTCTAATCATTCATTTCGCTGGACGTCTCTACCTACTACAATAACTTATCTAATCTTTTACTTGCAAGTTGTCTAAAATATGAATTAAAAATTTTAACTATTTATTTTATTATTTTTGTGTACTTTTTTCAACTGTTCAATAAAATGCATATGGTCTCCGTTTGGAAAATAAGTTGGCTTTTTAATTTTTTAATTTTTTTAGCTATTTAAGCTTGGGATCAAAAGTTTGGTTTGGGAAGGATTTTTTTGACTTTTTTGATTTTTTTTTGTAAGAGAAAAGTGTAATGATTATGAGTTTGATGTAATGTTTTGTCTGTTGTGACTCAAATAGCTTATTATGTCTTTTGTAGTTCAAAGAGCCAAAAGAGCCCAAATAAGCCCAAACATGCTCTTCCCAAACGACACCATAATCTGATTCATGTATTTTAAATTATGGATCGAATATTTTTTCTAGCTTTTGTATTTTAGCATTAAAAATAATAATTGAAGACCTTTTGATTAGACAATTATGTGATTAGTTCATCAAAATCAGACAGCTCAACACCCACTAAAGTAAAGTTGATTAATTTATTCAAAAATTATAATAAAATAAAAAGAAAGAAAATGTTTAAAATTAAAATTTATTGCAGTACCAATAATACTAATTTGATTCACACATTTTAAATAATAATTAAAAATCTTTTGCTTAAAAAACCATTGTTTTTTTGCCTTTTCTTGGAACGTTTTGTTGAAAAATGAAACTGTATTATTTATGAGATGACAGCCAATAAATTCTAATTAAATAAATAAACACCAATTGACTTAAAATCCCATGACTGATATCATTTATGACATATAAAGCAAGACTTAATGATTGACTGTTAGTTTCTTAATTATAATAAACTGAATTAGTGAAATTTAACACACATTATTGTCGTCTTAGTTTCAAGATCTAATATGTGATTAACTTGAATGAGAAAATTCAATGTTTAAGAGATAATAATGTACCTTTCAGATGTTTCTTGTCATGCGACTTCACTGGGTATGTCCAATCATAGCATCTGTAGCAGTACACTTTTCCGACCACCTTGACAACCAGGTGGTGGTGGTGGTGGTGAGGCGGCGGTGGAGATGTGTAGTAGTATGGTGGTGGTGGCGAATGTGCCGGTGGTGGTGGAGACTTGTAGTAGTATGGTGGCGACAGTGGTGGAGATTTGGCCGGAGGTGGTGGAGATTTGTAGTAGTAGGGAGGTGGTGGGGATGGTGATGGTGGTGGTGGAGACTTGTAGTAGTATGGTGGTGGAGGAGATGGGGATGGAGGTGGTGGTGATTTATAGTAGTATGGTGGTGGTGGAGATGGTGATGGAGGTGGTGGTGATTTGTAGTAGTACGGTGGTGGTGGAGATGGTGATGGTGGTGGTGGGGATTTATAGTAGTATGGTGGTGGAGGAGAGGGTGAGGGTGGTGGTGGAGATTTGTAGTAGTATGGTGGTGGGGGAGATGGTGAGGGTGGTGGTGGAGACTTGTAGTAGTATGGGTGTCGTGGCGATGGAGAGGGCGGTGGTGGAGACTTGTAGTAGTATGGGTGTGGTGGCGATGGAGAGGGTGGTGGTGGAGACTTGTAGTAGTATGGGTGTGGTGGCGATGGAGAGGGTGGTGGTGGGGACTTGTAGTAGTATGGTGGTGGTGGCGATGGAGAGGGAGGTGGAGGAGACTTATAGTAGTATGGTGGTGGTGGAGAAGGAGAAGGTGGAGGAGGAGACTTATAGTAGTATAGTGGTGGTGGAGAAGGTGATGGTGGTGGGGGCGACTTATACACATATGGTGGAGGTGGAGATGGAGAGGGCGGCGGTGGCGACTTATACTCGTAAGGTGGTGGTGGAGATGGAGACGGTGGTGGTGGTGACTTGTACTCGTACGGTGGTGGTGGAGAGGCATAGACATAAGGATCCGCCGAGACTACATTGGTTGAAACAACCACTATGGCCAATGCAACCATCAAATGTGGCCACGAGAGACGACCCCTTGAGGGGCCGCCGCCGTGCAATCTCATTTCTCGCCGGAAACTTTCACCAATTTCACTAATTCTGTTGGTCAGAGAGAAAGATATAAGGGAAAGTGAGAGAGAAAAAGGCTTTAGTGATTAAGTTATAGAGAGGTGATGACTTGGGAAATTGATTGTGTGAAGGTATATATAGTGAAATTGGAGTGTGTTAAAAATAAATAAATAAATTGGAGTGAGAGATGGTCGTTGGAATAGAGCTGTCAGTTCGTGACTATTCAAATGAATGGAACAACAATAGCCACCCTCCAGCTGGATTTATCAATTTATTTTAATGCTTTGTTTGGGTAATTAAAATTTGATTCCCAATTTTCATATTTTATTCACATGATCAGCTAAGAACAAGTCACCTGCTACATACATTTATAATTTTTCATAACGTACACATTATTATGTATTTAATATTTATAATATGATCATATTTTTTTTAATAATTCCATTCTTTTTTTTTTTGTTGTCAATATTTGTGTTCTCTACTACCTACTTTCTCGTGAACAGTAAGTGAGCATAAATTATTTTGTGGGTCAAAAAGACCACATAGTTATGTGTCCATCTAATAAAAAACATGCCATTTATCCACTATTTTTTTTTTTGTTTTTAACGGTATGTAATTGTTAATCTCCTTCTATTAGTTGCACACATCATCAATATAAAATTCTTAAAAAACAGAATAATTCCTCGTGAGTGAGAGACATTTTACGAGATTCAAATTAAGAAAAATCTTCAAGAATAAAAATTAAAAAATATTTTTATTATAATTAATCTATTTTAAATTAGTAGTTATGATTTAAAATAGCCTTGCCGACAAATTGATAGCTCTTGGATCAAATTTTCCAAATGGATTTTGTGTATTGGACCTTCTTGGGGATATTCACTGCGTGAGATCTATCCGCCGGTTGTCATGTCGGGCAATTGCTACCCAAACCCACAATTCAAATCGGTTGATGAGTCACTCATTGAGCTAGCTGAGTCGCTGAGTTGAAACAGTTGTGTACCGTTGGAGAATTTTATAAAATATGACCCAGAATATGAGACGCAGAGGTAACGTGCACGAGATTTTATAAATTAAAAAAATTATTATTATAATTATTTTAAAATAATTTAATATTATGTCTTGTAATATACATACCAACAATGCTAGAGGGCCACAATTTTTGTGGCCACAATGGCTCAAAACTGCCAAAACGATGTCGTTTTGGCATATTTTGCACCCAAAACGACGTCGTTTTGACAATTTTGAGCCATTGTGGTCAAAAAAATTGTAACCCTCAAATATTTTCCTATACATAAAATTTATAAACTAACTTTTATATTTATAACATTTTAAATTATTAGTTTTAAAAAATTAATATATATATATAAGTCCAATTAGTGCAATTTTGATAATTTGTATTAAAAAAAATTAAATTTGATTAAATGAGATTAAATAAGTTATGACGTATCTTTTCTTATTATAAAAATATACAAATTTAAAAGTTATAATTATGACGAATATACAATTTTATTATTAAATGTGATGTGAAGTGAAGTGATATTTACAATAATTAATATGATGTTTCTATTATTAATCTAATAATTTAAGTTACATTCTTTTGATTTCAATTTCATAACTAAAAATACAATATAAATATAATAGACATATGGATTTCTAGTTTTTAAGAATAAGAAGGTTTCAAAATATTTTCAAACTTTCATCATTTTTTTTCAGTTTTTTTTAATCTAATTTGATTTTAAATTTGAATAATTTTTTTGATTTTATATGAATTACTTTAACTTTTTTCATTAAATTTTTATCAATTTTTAAAAGAATTTCATTCTTATTCCAATTTTTTTTCTTTTGCACCAATTTTGATGGAAAAACAATAATTTTCAACATTTCATATTTTTAAATTTTTATCAAATTATAATTTGATAAAAAAAAATATTAAGGGTTGAAGATTCTCTTAATTGAAATTATAGTGAAATAACATCTTCAAATAGTCAAAGTTTGAGTATGTGGTTGGTAAAAATATATAATTTAATTAATTCTTGTCTCATGTTTGTATAAAAATTGACACTTATGACTGCACCATTATAAGGCAGATTATGAAAAAAAAATTTGAGGTGTCAAACATTTTCCATTTGTAAATATCATATATATTAAAAAAATAAAAAAAAATGTGTAACTTTTGGATATGTGTTTATCAGTTTTTTTTTTTTATGAATATAAACAATTAATGTTTCAATTTCAAAATTAAAAAATAGATTGTGTTTTTTAGAGATAAAATAGGTCATCTAATTCTTTTATACACTATTTAAGATGGACTATTTAGTGGTGTTTTGGGAAGTTGGTAACAAATTGGTTTTTTAATTTTTTTAGTCTATTTTATCTTTTTGTGAGTAAAAAATGTGAGAGGTGATATGACCCAAAATGAGTAAAAAGTCAAAGGCTGGCTTTTTACTGGGTTGCCAAAGCACCCTACATTAAAAAAATAGAAAATTATATTTAGAAATTATCCTTATATATAATGCTATTATATAAAACTATAGTTGTAACAAATTAACTATTATATATATGAAAAGTTATATTAAGTTCCCATTTTCAATTAATTGAATTGTAATTAGCAAACTAATAAATTGCCGTAATTGTATAATGGGATGGAAATTGAATAAAAATAAATAATACAATGATATTTAAATGTTTTAAATTTACCTAATGTTATAGTAAAATCTTGAATTCTCAATAAATTTTCACATTTTCTATAAAATGACAATAAAAAATAAAAAATTTTGATACCTATTTTTTTATTTCAATTTTATTGTCTTCATTAAAAAAACAAAATCCTATCAAAATTTTTGACACAAAATGGACATAGATACTTCGATTACAGCCATAATCACTAATAATTTTTCTCTACCATGCAAACCTGTAAACAAACACATAAACCTCACTAAAATTAAAACCAAACTAAACCAACAACAGAGAAAGAGAATCACACATGAAAAAAAAATTAAAAAACAAATAAATTTATGAAATGAGAGAATGTTACCTCCAATAATTTAGACCTCACCTAATCCAATTCGTTAGTTCATCTGCCTATGACCGCGAAGTTTAGGAATTAGAATGACTAATCAGATTATTCTTTAAATAAGACTTAAAAGTTGATTAATCTATCTCGTTAAGTGATTTAAAATTTTGATAGATATACATAAGAAAATAGATAATTATATTACTAAATCATAATTCAAATTTAGATATTGTCATATTTTTTTGAGATGCATATCTAAATTCTTATATATATTTTTTTAATTTTTGTGTAGTTTCTATGTGGTTTTTTTTTTTCAATTTATTTAAGATGGATTTATGGGTTTCCATTTTTTTTTTCAATTTAATTTATCTATGGTTTCTATTTGTTTTTAATTATTGTTATTTAGGTAAGTTATGATGTGAGTTGGGTATGTGATAGGCATGTGGGTTTTATTGATTTAAAGTATGATTGTGGGAGACATTTTCAAATTATATTTGTTTAGATAAATTTTAAAGATTTTTAAAATTTAAAATTTGGATATTGAGATGCAAAAGAAAGATTTTAACTAAATAAATAAAAATAAAATTTATTAATTTTATCTGTTTATATATCTTATTTTTAGTTTTTTTTTTGGGTTATGTTATAATATAATATATAAGATATAGATAGATATTCACGACTTTCATGAAAAATATTATCTAATTTTTTAGGGAAGAGAGAACACAGGCAAGTTTAAATATTTTATTTAGAAATCAGTAAGAGAGATTAGGATGGAGAGATTATAAAATATTTATCTTTCCATTTGAAATTCATAAATCAAAGGATAATTATTATCTCTAAAATAATTAAATAAATAAACCAGTCAATAGTTTTTTTTAAAATCTTTTTATAAATTGAAAAATCAGTAATTTTCGAAAATTGATTAATTTGTCCGTGATTTAAAATTTTAATAGATATACATCAAAAAAATAGATAATTATATTATTAAATCATAATTTAAATTTAGATATTGTCATATCTTTTTGAGATTCATATCTAAATTCTTATCTTTTTTATTTTTGTGTGGTTTCTTTTTTTTTTCTTCAATTTATTTTAGATGGAGTTGTGGGTTTTTAAATTTAGTTTATCTGTGGTTTCTATTTTTTTAATTATTATTATTATTTAGGTAAGTTATGATGCAAATTAAATATGTGATAGATATGTGAATTTTATTGATTTAAAGTATGATAGTGTGAGATATTTTCAAATCATATTTGTTTAGATAGACTTTATAGATTTTTAAAATTTAAAATTGGATATTGAGAGGCAAAAGAAATATTTTAACTGAATAAAGAAAAATCAAATTTATTAATTTTATCTGTTTGTATATCTGATTTTTAATTTTTTTTGTTATGTTATAATATAATATATAAGATATAGACAGATATCCACAACTTTCATAAAAAATATTATCTGATTTTTTGGAGGAGAGAAAAGGAATACAAGCTTTAAATTTATTTATTTTTTATTTTTTTTTGAAAATTGGTGAGAGAGATTATGATGAAGAGATTATGAAATATTTTTGTTATCTTCCCATTATTATTTCTAGAATAATTAAATAAATAAATAAAATCTATAGGTTTTTTTAATCTATTTTATAAATTGAAAAATCAGTAATTTTATAATGAGAGTTTTAAGCATTTAGGAGCCTGGCTTCTCATTAGAAATCCATTTCTTCTTATATAATATATAGATAGATATAGATATAGATATTTATATTTATTTTGGGTAAATTATACTAAAAGTCTCTATAGTTTGAGACTTGTGTCACTTTAGTCTCTGACTTTTTAATTGTGACACGTTTGACCATGAATTTTGAATCTTGTTCTAAATAAGGACAATTGAAGATACCATTGTTCAATTTCAAGGAAAAAATTGTCAATTTGATAAAATATAAACTAATTTGACAAAAATAAAGGTCCAAAAAAAATATTTTGAATTTTTAAAAATAATTTCTACACACCAAAGATAAAATTATATAAAATTAATAAATCTTTTAGACATTTATTTATTTTACCAAATTAATTTTTATTATGTGTTTGGATGATGATCATGTAATGGGTGGCTA